ATTCTTGTGCCAAACGACAGCCATGACTCATTTTGGGTCGTAACGCTGCGAGGATCTCCGTCCAAACAGAAATTCAGTTCTTCCGCTGAAGTGAGGGATGAATATTTATCAGCGAGGGCCGGACGGGGGGGGGGAGACGACGATCAAAGAAACGGATCTGCTTTGTTCTGGAGGACAGCAGAACCGACGTGAAGACAGAAGAAAAGAATAAAGGTGGTGGTGTTGAACCAAATTAGGCAGAAAACAATGAACTGTTCTCTCCAGTTTGAATCGAGTACTTCAATCAAGAGGATATTCTCCACTGACGGTCCAAAGAACAAAATATTAGATCTTTACATGAGTTTAGTCTTTATAAATCTAAAAACATTTACGTCTTCTAAATTAAACAATACTTTACCATCTGATAAGAAGATAGGATATTTTACTTCATTATGAAATCTTCTTGATTCTTGATTCACTGGTGGCTCTACGCTCCAACCCTCAGGGTCTTGAAGTATGGATAATGACTGCAAGAACCAGATCCTGGATCCAGCTGAACTCATCTTCCTCTGGATAAAGACGAACCGTTTGTACAAACTTCATAGTTCCCTGTAGTCTCTACAGCAACGGGTGGTTTGTGGCTCCTCAGACTGAAGAAGTCCTTTGGATGAAGGACAAAACGTCTCAGCAAAAGAAAGAACCCGTCCAGATGACCGGACTGAGCATTGTCTGATTTTGTGAAATGTTTTGTGAAAGCACCTAAAGTTTGGCTGATTTTTCACCAAAAATGTTTTTTTGTGGTTCCTGAGCGATAAACTCTGTACAGGTCCAGGGGTTCCCCTCCTGAACCTGCACCGCCACAACTTGACCACGTACAAGTAAAATATAACGGGATAACTTCTCTTCAAAACGCCTAATCTAAGTCTAAAGATGGAGCCCAAACTCTTCTCTGAGGCCTTTTAAATGACCCAACGTGAACTTGTAAGATACAGTCTGACGACTCCCTAACCCCGACCACGTGTTTTAGACTCTGACCACGGTACCAGTTTCCGATGTTCCAGAGTAGTCCTGGATTAACAGACCCAACACCATCGCGACCTTTGATGCAACGTTTTAGATGAAGAACTGTTCGGCTGTTTGGGTCAAACCTTTAAAAACCATTAAACTTCATGTAAGTCACAAGATATCCCAGTTAAAGTATGTGCAGTAATGACTCTCAGCTACTACCACACCAAACGCTGGCTCAATACAACTACGTTACAGTCATTTCTGTGTTGGTTAGCTGTGGCGGCCATCTTGAATTGGGCTGATGTCAGTTTCAGACACAGAATAAATATTTCTGTAAGTTTCCCTCCTTCTGTTTGTGGTGGTGGGTGATGATTATCCAGGAGAAGTAGTCAGAATCTTTGTGCTTAAAGTATGACGATGGTTCTGGTCCGCAGCTGAACGGGTCCTGGAGACGAGGACTAATTAACCGACTTGTCGTTTTTCCTCTTGATGTTGGACTTTTCTTGCTTTCCCTGCAGCTTTGCATCGTTTCCTTTTCAGCTTCTTGTTTGTCAAACCCCCCACCTACGACACTCAAGTGGAACCATGACAACAGCAGAACCGCACAAACCCAAGTCCCCCCCCTTCAGAAAGGACCGGCCTACCGGAGGCGTTTTAATGAGGCTGGAACCAGAGCAGAACAGACAGAGGAGCTAATGAAGACAAAAAATACTCAAGTTGTCATTTTTAATTACCACAGAGGAACTACGGAGGATTAATTCATTTTCTGTCTGTCGCCACAAAACCCAAAATCTCTTTGGTGTAAAACGAGTTCTTCTGTTTGTCTGAACACACGAGGAACTTCCTGACCCACTTGGAGCGGTAGCAACCAACATAAACCGTCACGTTTAATGGAAGAAAACAAATCTCTGTGAAATTATTCATCTTTGATCCGAAGGATTAACGTTTAAAGGAAGAACTCCAGATCCTGTTTCTGTTGGTTGTATATTTTCGTCTCGTTCACTTTAATTAATCCACGTTTGATTAAAGCGCTCCGTCAGCAGCTCGTCTCACTGAACTGTCAGACAGATAAAGTATCCGACCCCCCCCAGAACCAGCTCTTATTATATTCTGCCCGCTGCATTATTTATACCTTGAGACGTTATAAGTTCAACTAATCTGGCCCAGTTTAACGCCGTCCCTCCCCACGCCGGCAGCGGGGGGGCGGGAAGCAGCGATAAGAGCAGAACTGAGTAAAACAATGACTGAGCAGAACTAGAATCAACACCAAGAAACGGACAAAGCATGGCTTCAGACTGAAAACCTAAAATATCACAGAACATAACTGAATATTTGAAGTTTTTTTGGGGGGGTCCTCAATTAAAAAAGTTAATTAGCAACTTAATAAACAAGCTTTCATTTGGTTCAGTTTATATATATATATATATATATATATATATATATATATATATATATATATATATATATATACTGTATATATATACATAATTTGTCTTCAACGTCTTTTTTATTTTAAAACCACGATTTAAGACATTACCATCTTTTGTCTTCGTACTTCATATAATTCAACTGCTGGTGATAACCTCATGGTTTTAGTTTAAAGATGCAACATACAAGTTTTGTTTGCACTGGGGAACAGAGTCATTTAAAGGAAAAGAAGGAGATAAAGATTCATGATAACCTTAACCACAGGGCTCCATTCTCGGACCTCTTCTCTTTTTTTTATACTTGCTGCCGCTAGGGGCTAGTTTTCGTAAACACGGCATCCATTTTCATTTTTATACAGATGACTGTCAAATTTACTTCTCTGTAAAGCACACTGGTGCACGCTCAGTCCAACCTCTTCTTGACTGCTTGCTTGGCATCATGGATTAACTTTCTTACATTTTAATGATAAGACGACAGAAGTCATGCTGTTTCCAGCTAATGGCACAATCAAGAACCACGACCTTTCCTCTCTAGCCCCGTTAGAGAAACAAGTTGTCACTAACCTGGGAGTGAAAATGGACTCTTCCATGAAACTAATGAAATGAATCAGTCATGTAAACACAATTAATTATTAAATCCTGTATTTTTTTCCCAGTTTAGGTGACTGTCTAAATTGAAGCCCATACTGTCCAAAGCTAATCTTGAACCAGTAATGCATGTTTTCATAACATCCAGGCTTGATTAGTGCAATGCTCTTCTGTTTGGAATCAGTCAGACCTCCATCACACGATTACAACTGGTTCAAAATGCTGCAGCACAATTTTAGCTTGTACAGGCAAAGGAGAACGCATTATTCCAGTCCTGGCCTCCCTCCACTGGCTCCTGGTTCACTTTTGAATTTATTTTAAAATCCTTCTGCATGTTTTTAAATCTCTGAACAGTTCTGCCCCCTCTTAGCTCGCTGATCTGCTGCAGCCATATGTCCCACAGCGCTCCCCGAGGTCAGCAGACCAGGTGGTTTAATTGGTTCCAGGCACTCGTTTTACGCTCAAAGGTGACAGAACCTTCTCTGTTGCAGGTCCAAAACTGTGGACTGAGTTACCACTGCATGTCAGGAAGGCCCCTCTCACTGTTTTTACGTCTCCTTTAAAAACTCACTTTTATTCCCGGCTTTCCATCCGGTGTGAGTTGATTTGAACTTCACTGTGTTTTTATTGTTTTAGCCGTTTAGTTCTTATCTTTACCTCTGTGGATTTACGTATTTTATCCTGTATTCACTTTGTTTTGTTGTACAGCACTGTGGTTGGCCTTGCTGCTGTTTTAAGTGATATGGTACAATGATACGGCGATGTTAGGGAAATAAATCACTGCGCTTCATTGGTTTGAGGCTAGTTGAGACATAAAAATGCCTTCCAGATGTTAGAGGTTTTAGAGGACCTGAGGAGACAAGATGTTAGAGGTTTTAGAGGATCTTAGGAGACAAGATGTTTGATGTTTTAGAAGACCTGAGAAGACCAGATGTTTGATGTTTTAGAGGACCTGAGGAGACCAGATGTTGGAT